AAAAAAGGCAGCCGTGGCGCGGCACGGCATGACCGGGAAAAAAGAAAAAAGAAAAAACGAAAAAAAAAAGAAGAAGACAAAAGTGCCTGTTTTGAACAGGCACCATGTGTATAATGCGGGCCACTGTTATTATTGCCGTTTTGAACTCCGGTCGGGACGGACCTGCGGACGACTGTTTTTTTTGCCCATTCAAAACGTGGGTTGTGACCCACGAGCCGTTGCCCCAAAAAAGAAACAGAGACCTCCCACCTGAAATCACGGCAGAGTGCTTCCCAGCCATCAGATCACAAATGATCTGATGGTGGTGGTTGCAACAACAGTGAACAAAGGGCCTCGCTGCACTACTCTTGAAAGGTGAAAAACGAGAGTGAATCTTCCGCTAGAACATGGAAAGATACAGCGACATGATTTTTGTCTTTTGTGCATTTCAAGAGTAGTGCAGAGAGATAATTGCACAACAGCAAGCAAAATACTGAAAATCTTCTATCCAGTGGGCCTATGGCCTACCCTGCTCTCTTTTTGGGGTTGGCCATACCCCCAACGGATTGAAAAGATTTTGGCGGGAATCTTCCTTTGCACGGGCAAGTCCAGTGTTAAGGAGAGGAGGAGGGGAACCATTGTCTCCTCACTTTTTGGGGTAATACATGTAAAATGCTGACCGTGGGATCACCAGTACTGCACGGCAGGATTTGGGTCGCTCAACTGCCATACAAACTCTTTTCCGAAAGAGCCATTTGGACCCCCAAATAACGTTCTGAGATACCCCCTGGGGTCTGTCTGATCCCCCATTGCACAACCAGTGAGTGAGGGTGGGGTAGGAAATATGTAGACTTATCCCAGTTATTCGATGCCTCAGATAAATAACAATATTCATCTAATACTACCCGAAGCTCAGAGAGGGAAGACTGTGAGTTTTCACAGGCAACAGTTAAGTCGTCTTCCAATGAATGGAGGGGGGGAGCCTCAATCCCATTATGTTTGGGTTTTTTCTAATATTATCTAATAGTACGTCTAGTTGCAATACAAAGAGTAAAGGTGCTAGAGGGCACCCTTGACGTAGGGACCTGGACAGTTTGAACTCCTCTGACAGGTGACCATAAACCATGACCACTGACGAAGCTTGCGAGTACATTGCTTTAACATACATCAGGAAGTGAGGGCCAAACCCCATTTTCGACAAAGTGGTCAGGACAAAAGTCCAACCCACTTTGTCGTAAGCCTTCTCCATATCCAAAAGAAGTACTGCAACTTCGCGCTTTTCCATGGAGATTACTTCCAGCGCCTGTAAAGTTGTCATTATGTTTTCAACGATAGAGCGTCAGACTCCCTTTACAAAAGCACCTTGTTCTAAACCAACTATCGTTGGGAGCAATTCTGCCAATTGGGAAGCTTGTGCTTTAACCAAGATTTTATAACCCACATTTAATAATGAAATTGGTCTATAGTTCTTAACTTCCACCTTATCTCCTTTTTGATAAAGAAGTGAAATTACTCCCTTTAGGAAACCTTTGGGGATAGTGCATGTTGTCCTTGTACTATTATATATATCACATAGAAAAGGTCCAAAGGAGTCCCAACAGGCCACATAAAGCTCTACTGGAAGGCCATCCAAACCAGGGCACTTACCCAGGGTCATCTGGTTAACAGTCCGGGTGAGTTCTTCCAGCGTGAATGGTTCCTCCAGCAATTGCACAGCTGATGGAGTTAATCTGATTGTGGTTTTATCCCAAAAGGTGTTGTTCTGTGAAAGGTCTGTCTCCAGGGTGTCAAACGGTCTCCTGGTCGAGACAATATCACTAAAGTATTCCAAGGCGTGAGAGCACATTGATTCCACGTCGGATGCCGCCACAGAATTGGTGGCAAAAGGGTGTCTGAGTTCCCTAATCAAGGGTCTTGACTGTCTTAGAATCAGAGATCTAAAAGATAACTTACTCATTCTATCATATCCAATTATACCCCTTAGTTTTAGCCAGTCCAGCCACTCTGATTGTTTTTGGACTTCCAATTGTTCTAACTGCAGTATGGCCGAATTCCTTATCTCCGTCCAGTAATAATCTGCGAAGGGGTCACCCCCCATCAGACTCTCTGCCTGCTCCACCGTGCGTTTTAACTGAGTTTCTTTCCAATTCCGGTTGGCGGCTTTCATTCGGGAGAAGTTCATTAAGGCTGCCCTTATTATATTAATGCCCACCTCTGCCCAGTCCGATATATCCTCAAAAAGATCCCTGGCGTACGACCAGTGGGACATTTGATCTTTTATCCAATTTTTTAACCCTTCATCTTTCAACAAATTTACGTTCAGACGGAAGGGGGGTCGCGCCCTTTCAATAGTCTCAAATGAGACCACATCCATCAACACTGGGTAGTGGTCAGACAGGGAGTCAAACTGCGGTTCGCACCAGCAGCATCTGTCCCAAGGGGCTCCTCTCGCCAAAATGAGATCTAAGCGACTGCGAGGGGCCGGGGTATTTTTGGAGGGTTTTGATCCATACCACGTATAGCCATTCGAACCAGGACTTAACGTGCGATACACGTTTATGATAGTATGCGCGTCTAGTAAGATCTGTAGAAGTTCTGCATCAGCTCTTACCGGGAACACTGAGAGAGAGTCCAGACCAGACTTCCTTATTGTATTCCAGTCTCCTAATAGGACTAGATTTTCTGTGTCTGGCAAGAAAGCTGGTAGATTCGCAAGAAACTCGATCCGTTCAGGTAACTCCACTGGGGCATCTATCGAGGCAATTGCCCATTCCTCTTCTCCAAGTTGCAATTTGATCCATGCTATACGACCTTTTGTGTCTGTATAGGAGTCTACAACATCAGCATCTAGGTCTTTATAAATTAGTACAGCCACTCCTCCGCTGGACCCTTCTGCTGGGGACCAAACCTGCGGTCCGTCCCAGAAACGATTTAAATTCCTTATTTTGTGTGCATTCAATTTGGTTTCCTGAATCCCTATTATATGAGCATTATTAGAATTGATCCAGGAGCGCAGTCAAGCACGTTTGAATCTTTTCGAAGTATCACCCAAACCGCATACATTCCAAGATACCAGTCTCAGCTTAATTGGCTGAACCATCAGCCATGCTCAACCCGGTGTCTTGGATTCGGGAAGCTTGTTTGGGGAGGGACGCTGCTTTTTTCCCTTCTTTCGTATCTTTACCGGACTGTTGAATCGATTGCAGATTCTGGGACAGGCAGGTTCCTGACAGACGTTCCACGATATCTGTGTGTCTCATCCATTCAATAATCACCGTTCCTGTCCTTCCTGCAGGTAAGTGCAGATTTTCCACCGTCTCTGTTTTATTGGTCAAGAAATCCTGAAGAGGTATCCAATGAACCCTTAGGTCACACCATTTTTCAAAGTTATCGCTGATGGTCTTGAGACCCATCATAGCCATGTGAAGGACCACCGGTGGCCGTTGTTGTACTTGTGACAGAAATCTGTTAACTTTGAAGGACGGCAGTACAGCAACTGACCCTGTGTGATTTAGCACTTGACGTTTTACCAGCTCGGCCACTTCCTCTTCGGAAGGAGGGGTCGAGACCGGTATTTCTGGGATTTCAAGGCCATCGTCGTTAGTTATTTTGGATAATAGCATGGATCCTATCACTGACTCAGAGCAGATTAACGGGATCACAAATTGCTTGATCGGGCCCTTAGCTTTATCAAGCTTCGAGAGTGTCTTCATTGGGGCTGCTAATGAGAGTTCTCTCCTTCCCCGACCAGCGACAAGGGTTCTCTTCCTTCCCCCTGCCCTCAACTGATCGTGAAATTCCGGAGAAGATTCCTCTGCATTAAATTTCCCTGCTGTGTTTACCTCGTTGAATCTAACTTTTTTCGCCGGAGAGCCTCTTCTTACTGATGAGGCTTCCGGTTCCTGCAGACACTGAAGATTACCCAGATTTTGGAAGGGAAGCACGTCCCTGAGGGCTAGGAAGTCTGTATCTTGAGATTGATCTTTCTGTGTAGTCTTTGTTGGGACATTCCTACCCTCATTGGGCTCCGAGCTTCTCCCTAGGGAGATTCCTCCGAGTCCACCCTGTTCCTCCTCCTCTACTACGGGAGGTGGGCCTGGGGACTCAAGGGGAAGGTCCTCTCCGTGTTCTATCTCCCCTACCTTCTCGTGAGCATAAACCTGGGTATTATAAACCACAAAATTAGCAGGTGGAGATGAGAGGGTTTCTTGCAATATCGACGTATGGGATAGCAGATCGTTCATTTTGATCATTTTAATCGTCCCTGTAAATTCGCGAGTCTCCTCTGTAGTTCCAAACTCTAAACGGCGAGTTGTCTTCTTCGGGGAGCTCGCTTGTTCTGACGTTTTGCGGGCCTCTTTGGGGTTCCTTTCCTCGGCTGACCCCTCTTCTCTGCTTTCCCCTTTTTCCCCGGGGGGGGTTCCGTCCCCTTCACTGATTCCTCTTCACTATCTCCCTTCCCGTCGTCCAATTCTTTTCCCCTATCCATTTTCCCTTCCTTCTCGTCTCCCTTTGTTGACGGGCTAGGATCCTCCTCCTCATCCTCACTTTGGTCCTTTTCTTCCCTTCCATTCTTCTCCCCCTCATCTTCGTCCTCCTCATCTTCCATATCGTCATTCTCGCTATCCTCATCCTCTTCTTCTTCATCTTCCTCCTCTTCTTCCTCATCTTCATCCATTCCCTCTTTTCCCTTTCCTTCCTCCTCTTCCCTTTTCTTATTCGCGTTTTTTTTCCCTTCACCCTTTTCCTTTCCCTTCTTTCTCATCAAGGGGGACTCCTCTTCTTCTTCTGGCTCCTCATCCTCCTCTTCCTCTGTTTCTTCTTCTTCATCCTCCTCCTCCTCTTCCTCCTCCTCCTCCTCGGAGTCCTCATCCTCATCGTCACTTATCAACTCCAAATCCCTATCCGACTTGTCCAACTTTTTGGAAGGGTTTTCTTTCTCGTCTGCCTTCATTTCCTTGTCGTCTTCAGCATCCCCCATATCAGTATCACTCAAGTCATTTCGGACTTCCTCCGTCACCGGGGGATGGGTTACTTTCGGGTCATTTTGTTTGTCCCGTGGTTCGGCTAGTTTTCTCCAAACCACTATCTCTCTGCCACGTGATTGTACCTCCTCTCGGGGATTCTCCGGAGGGGGGGGAGGAAGTGGCTTCTTCTTCATTTGCTTACTGCGCTTGTTCGTCTGATTTGCTTTAGGGTGCTGATTATTCTTCTCTTTATCTAGCTCACCCTGGGCCTTGCCGGGGTCTTTTTCGGACCCCTTTTCTGGCCCCTTTTTCGATGGCTCAGAATTGACTTTGTTAGGGTCGTTGTTTCCTGTTTCGATGGCTCAGAATTGACTGCTCAGCGGATCAGGATAAGATTTTGCAAGGGAAAATAGTCGCTAGAGTTATGGGATGGATAAGAAACCACAAACTCTCGCTGTTTGGGATAGCAATGGTTCTCACATTCGCCGCATTCTCATTGTTATGGTTTCCCCTAGTCATTCATTGGCTGGGGGACGGTGCGTACTCAGTAATTAAAACAGTGGCGGCCCGGTACTTATGGAAACCAGCAGCCAATGAAGATCAAGGGTTTATGACGAAGGTGGCTTGGGACACTATTGCCCAGCCAAGAACAGAGGGCGGGCCGGGAGTCCTGGACCCTAGGGACCAGATTATAGCACTCTTGGGAAGATGGCTTGTAAAAGCCCTGATGGAAGACACCAGAAACAAGCAGTGGGTAAAATTTGCAAAGTACATTTTTAAGAAGGACTGGACTCTGGAGAAAGAAGAACATGTGTGGATTTGTCTACTCCAAGGTGATATGATGAGAAGGAAAGTTAAATCCAGGATCTGGTCAGGGATACTTAGAGCATGGAGGAGAGTCAGGCCAGTCGCCCTGAAAGAACCGACTTCTAAATTGGAAGTGGCAAACCAAATGCTATTTGATAATGAGGTGATTAAGACGGAAGCAAGATCTTCATTCAGCTCGACAGAAAAAGATGGCAATTTCGCTCGATCCTGGATTGAAAAAGGAGTATTGCAAGTTAAACATATCTGGGACGAAATCCATCAGTCCTGGCTTTCTCAGGAGGATATCCGGAAGAAACTGCCCAGATTACATGTGGAAGAAGCTAATTACACAGCTATTCTCAAGGCTCTTCCGGGTCACTGGAGAACATGCTGAAGAACGACACCGAACACAGTCAAGGGACGTGGCTGATGGACTCAATGGAGCCCAGGACGGAATCACTTATAAGAGTACTGGGTCCGGAGCTCGATCAGGGGATGAAGGTGGAAAAATGGAGAGTGGGGAGGAAGGTGGGAAAGGGAAGGGAAGTTACCTTCGACAAGGAAGAAGTGGTGGTGTCAACGGTGGATATGACAGAAGTTAGAGTGTGGGAAAAGAAGTCAAAGGGAGTCTGAATAGGTGAGCTGCTGCCAGGCCCTGCGGAGCTGTACAAGGTAGATCCGCTTTATTATGGCTGGACCTTGGACACACACAGAAAGGTTCCACTATATAAGTATGAAACCAAGGTGGGAGTGACTGTACGGAGATCAATGAAGACACGACCAGTAGACGTGGCTAGGCACCGATTCCATAGGATCCAGAGCGAATCGGTCCCAGCCCCGGATTTCCACAGTTTGTGGACAATGTTGAAAAAGCTCCCATCTCAAAGACAGGTGAGCCTGATGTGGACACAGTAGATGCTCGTGACTCCTTCGGCGCTGTGGCTGCAGTCAAGGGGAATGGAAATCTCTGTTACCTGTCTCCGCTGTAATTGGGGATGGGAATCAACTGAACACATCTGGATTTTCTGTCCTCTGGCTGATGAATTATGGATGTGCTGGAAATCAAATTGGGAAAATACAGTGGGAGCTGAGTGGGACTGGACGGACAACTGGATTCTCTTTGCATGCCCTCCAGGAACAGCAAAGCTTCAAGAAGGTTGGGGATACGCAGCATTAGTTTGCAGAGGTATCCTAATGGAGACAATTTGGAAGGCTCGTAATGAGCAAGTGTTCAGAAACGAAAAGATGTCAATCCATCAGCAGATATCAAGGGTAAAGTCAACTTTACGTTTAACTATTCAGGCGGATTGGAAACGTTCCGGCCAAAGATCGGGTAGAGGAAGATACTGGTTTGGGAAAACATGGACAATGAAGAATGCTCTGGCTAAAGTCAGCCCAGAAGGACAGCTCCTCATAGCTCCTGGGCTGTGTGACTAGGTTGAGTGGGAAAGACCGCTGTCAGGCTTCTCTGGTTCAGATTGTATAGGAGAACCTCGGTTTTGAAGCGAATTATTTGGGTAGGAAGGTTCTCTCTTTTTCATGAGCTTCAGGATCAAGAATTTTCCAGGATTTTTAACCGGATCACTGTAAGTAGCATAGAGTAGAATTGTTTGGAAGCTTACAGTGATGTGACAATGGGACTCTGGACCCGGTTTCCAGACCAAGGTACTTTCCGGGTTGAATTGTGAGGTCCCCTGCCTCAACATTATTGAAATTGGTAATAAATGGAGAAATTCCTGGGGAAAAAAAAAAAAAAAAAAAAAAAAAAAACTATTTTCCATCCTATCCGGTTGCTAGTGGGACCACCATTGGCAAATGTACTCACTCCTGTAAGAAATGAGAATGAACCTTCCGCTAGAACAGGGCAAGATACGCCACGTTTCTGTCTTTTGTCTATGTGGTGTCACTGGTGTGTACTGGGAGGAGGCCCTGTCGCCGCGTTTGCTGCCCTAGTACGCACAGAATGTGCGTGTGCCACGGCAGGGACATAAGTACGTTCTGAGGCCATGCGAACTGAACAGAAGGGGGGGGGAGAAGTTTAAAGAAGAGGCGGTAAGACGAGAAGATAGAGGGGAAGACGGAAGAGGAGAGAAGAAAGGAGAGAAGAGCAGCGAAATAGCGACGGGGAGAGTCGCGAAGGGAAGAGGAGAGAGAGGAGAGGACGGAAGAGAGGCAGAGTGCAAGCACCGTCCAAGTCGTCGAACTTATGGAGATAAGCAGAGCCGCGCGCAGTGTCCTGGGGGGAGCCTACCTCCGGACTATAGGCTCGATGATGGCTTTCTGGTTGATGATGCCTCTTCTGCTCGTGACGGTGATTAACACGGATGGTGACAGTCACCATAGCGGAGCCGACGGCCATGGAGGTTCCCGCATTTTGCTCGCTGCTGCCACGCCAACTGAGTCGACGAGCTTTGCCGGGAGGAACCTGGCGATGGCCCGGACAGGAGGAGGAGGAGGAGGAGGAGGAGAACAAGTGTTGGCAGCAAGAGACTCTGTGCACGAGTCGACAGCTGAGGGCGCTCGAGCATGGTCAGGATCGGACTCCGAGCACGCCGCCGCTCTCCATCGGCGGCGTTCTTCGAACCGTCGGCTGGCTGCGTCAACGTCGACTCTCCGTGGTGGAGGAGGAAGCTTCCATGAAGGTTCTCGACGAGGGCGTGCTCTTCAATCCACCGCAGCGAGCGACTGGGTGAATGCTCACAACGTAGTGAGGACTAATGTCAGTGTGCCTGGACTCAGCTGGAACGGCACAGTGGCGTCTTCTGCAGATAGTTGGGCCCAAACGCTCGCTAATACCTGCCAGATGTACCACGCCTCAAACACCGGCTACGGGGAGAATCTGTACATGGCCTGGAGTTCGGGAGCTATTAACATCACGGCATCAGGTGTTGTGGGCGCTTGGGTGGCTGAGAAGGCCTATTACAACTACGCGACCAACACCTGTGCTGCCGGTAAGGTGTGCGGTCACTACACCCAGGTCGTCTGGAAGAACACCAAAGAAGTCGGTTGTGCTATCGCCTCCTGCATGTATGGGTCGTATAACGCACAGATCGCCGTCTGCCGGTACAGCCCACCTGGCAACTATATAGGCCAAAAGCCCTACTGACCGTCCGATTCACTCTCAGACTGACCACAGTGCGAGCGTACTCACACGGACTGATGTCAGTCTGACAGTCACTCCTGCCTGAAAAGCATAGTTGTCGTAGCCTGATGCAGGCGCTTTTCTACTCTTTTTCTGGACGGAATTGCAGCCAGAAGCATGCCGGTCCGGCCGTACATTCGGTCAGATACATTCAAGGTACTGCTAGTGTGAGTACACTGCGTAGCCTCCCGATATTCGGCCAGACGCGGTTGCGCACATTTCTCTGGCAACAGTTAGACGGCACATTTCTCTGGCAACTGCTTCTGGTAATTGAAATTTTTCTGTCGGTTACACTCCTGATCTATTTCTCTGGCAACAGTTAGACGGCACGTGAGTGTGTACTAAACGACCACGTGGCAGATATAGCTATCGTTGATCCGTTTTTTTTTTGTTTTTTTTTTCCCTTCCCCTAAATCAAATCTGTTATTCCCTATGCACCACGTCTCCCCCTCCCCCCCTCCCCCCCGTCCCACCACAAAAAAAAAAACCATGTATGCATTCAACCTGCGGTAGATATCATCTCTGCGGATTTTCCTAGACTACTTTCTATTTTGCCGTGATTTTGTGTCCCTAATTTTTGTTATCGTATTTTTTTTCCCTTCACTTCTGTGTCCCCTTTTTTTTTTTTTTTTTTTTTTTTCTCATGAACGTCACGATGTCCATTGCTCCTGCCTTCCGGGCCTTCCGGCTGTAAGAGCCCCGGATGATACTGGTCGACGGCTCCGCTCTATTCGTGGTCAGCTACACCTGCTGTGTCCCTAATTTAGTTCAAGCGATGGTATATTATTATGACCTCTTTCCTAGCGAGATCTATGCGCATCGAGATTCTCTTTTTTTTTTTTTTCTTTCTTTTTCTTTTACCGTATTGAGATTGTGCTCTCCACTGTTTCCCCATTTTTTAAACCCTTTCACGCAGTTATTTCGCCGTGTGCGGCGGCGATCCCGGCGGCATTGGTTCTAGTTGCGCGGTAGCTCCGCAGTTTTTTCGCGGTGTGCTGTCGCCATCCCGGCGGTATTGGTTCCACTTGCACGGTGGTCCCCACCGCCGCGTTTGGCCGTGGCTTTGTCCAAAACGGCCCTTGTAGGGACTCAATTCGTGGTAGAGGTTTTCCAAATTGGCGGTAAGAGTTTTCGAATTTGCAATGGCGCCAATTCGATTTGGCAAAACTGAATATGCAATGGCGCCAATCGATGGAGCCCAATGGAATTCCCAGTGGCGCCAATCGATTGAGCACAATGGCGTTTGCAATGGCGCCGATCGATTGGTGCCAATCGAATGGGTCCGATGGAGCCCCTTCATCGGGCGGGAGCTCGATAACCGTCTAACGAAAGAGGACAAGGAATTTCAGCACGCAAATATTAGAGGAGAGAGATGTTGAGACGTCTGTTTATATCAAGCGAGAGTTTTTTTTTTTTTTTTTTTTTTCCGAGGCAATTGCTTCATGGCTTAGGGGAACTGATTCCGCGTTTCGGCGAACTTGGAACTTGTACAGCGAAATGGATTTTGTTCATTTATTTTTATAGTAGGGAAATGGATTATTCTGTTATCCTAACTCGGATTTATGAATGTGAATTTCAAGTAATTTGTCCCTGAATTTACGCTTTTTCAGTGCACTTGATATTTTATGCCTGTGAAAAACGATTTGCTCTCATCAGAACTGATCATTCATATTCTTTGAAGTTGTTTTGAAACGCTGGGAGGTAGTTGGAATTCTTAACCATTTCTCTATTAATGCGTGTTTTTTTTTTTTTTTTTTTTTTTTTTTTTTTTTTTTTTTTTTTTTTTTTTTCGCTTTTTGTTAACTTCGTCCAGGAGGTGATAATTGAATTCTCCCAAAGATGTGGTGTGTCATCAGATGAGGTCCCATCAATGCGGGTCATCCTTGCGCGAGCGCCATGCTAATCTTCTCTGTATCGATCCAATTTTAACGCGGCGGAGGTCTCACTAGCAAAAGACGATAGGATTGAGTTCGTGAATCTGGAGGTGTTTTGTGCAGAGGTGCAGAAACGCATTTCAAACTCGATTCCTTGCACCTCTCCACAAACACGTCCAGCTTCAGGCATTCAATCCAATCCTCTTCGCTAGGTAGTGGGACCTCGCCCCGGATTTTGCACACGACTTTTCTCCCTTCTTTTTTTTCTCTTCTTTTGAAGGGTGACGGCATGCAAATCGAGGTACTATGACCATTCATCCAGTCTCCCCCATGTCATTAAGAAATGTTTGGTTCTGTTCATCTCATTTCATCTGGGTTCGAACTTGGGTCTATGTAAGCCCTTCATGGATGTGCCAACTGAAATAGTCCCGTAATGGTTTTCTTTTTTTTTTCGCTTTCCTCTCTTCTCCGAAAGGAGGTGTTTTGTGAACTTGGGCATGGCGCTGCAAAGTAAGCTTTCCGCCAAAATATTTTCAATCCGTTGGGGGTGTGGCCAACCCCAAAAGAGGGTGGGATAGGCCATAGGCCCACTGGATAGAAGATTTTCAGTATTCTTCTTTTGCTGTTGTGCAATTTATTATGTCATTAGGTGGAGCCCTCCTTGAATCACGGAGTATATGGAGGGTGTCAGGGTCACTGCTGACAGAAGTCCAGTTTATTCCAGAAAATGTGGCGGTTACTTTGTTCACTGTTTTTCCAACCACCACCATCAGATCATTGGTGATCTGATGGCTGGGAAGCACTCTGCCGTTATTTCCCGTGGGAGGTCTCTGTTTTTTTTTTCTTTTCTTTGCCCCTGCCTTTCTTCTGTTTTCTCAGCCCAGAAGTTCGTAAGGAACCTGTCAGCCCGCTGCCACTCAGTGTCACACTGCATCGCCCACACTCCTATCCGACTGCTAATGGGACCATGCTCCAGGCATGCCCGGTGTTAAGGAGAGGAGGGGAACCAAGATCTCCTTACTTTTTCGGGTAATACATGTAAAATACTGACCATGGGATCACGAGTACTGCACGGCAGGATTTGGGCCACTCAACTGCTACACAAACTCTTTTCTATCATATCCGGTTGAGCACCTCTTCTGTAGTCTGAGCCACAAGCAGTCTCTTTTTCCTTCTTCTTGTGGCTCTTTTTCCGTCTTCTTCCTTAGTGAGAGAAATAATGGACAGCCGACCATGCTCCTGGATTCCAACATTGGTCTGCATTTCAACACTTCAAGTTCATTGGTGTTCCCGCTGAGATAGCCCATGGGTCTGATCTCCCTTTTCCCTTTTCGTTTTGAATCTTTTTTTTCCGTTTCCTTTTTTTTTTTTTCCTTTCCTTCTTTTTCTTTGGGATAATTGGTAGAAAGAACCCAGGCCAAAACCTTTTCGGTTTTGGGCGTCCAAATGAACACTCACCAGAGAACTGTGTCCTTGCAACTGGTTAAGTATACATTGGGCCTCGCTCCGTTGTTACTCTCGACATTTGCAAAATAAAATTGAAGCTTCAGCTAGAGCATGGGAAAATACACCGCCATGGTTTTTGTCTTTTGTACATCATGTCGAGAGTGGCACAGCGAGGCCCTTTTTGAAAAAAAAAAAAAAAGGTCCTGTCTTGTTTCGCAACGAGTGGAGTCTGGATCTTCTGCATCTGCACGATCCACGAGGCGGCAAGGGGCAGTCCTTTGTGGCATCTGCAACTTCTGCATTTGCACGATGCACGTGGTGAGTAGTGGAGCAAGGCCCTGTATCTGGGTACCTTCCTCCGCCCCCTGTTTTTTTTTTTTTTAATCTAGTCTCGCGTACGTCTCGTCTTTCCCTTTTATGTCCTGTTTTTTTTTGTATTCGAATACTTTCTGGATGTAGAGGCGTGCCTTCTCTCTCCCCCCCCCCCTCCTCTCTCTCTCTCTCTCTCTCTCTCTCTCTCTCTCTCTCTCTCTCTCTCTCTCTCTCTCTCTCTTCACGAATAGTCTACACGTTAACCAAGTAAATTTTGTCGAAATCTTCCCTGTTTACCAGTAATTACATCCGATGATGACATATATGGCCTATTATTCCTATCTCGCATAGGAGCTCCGCCTAGACCATTATCTATTCATGCATCTACAGCTTCTTGAACTAATCTTTTTTGAGATGTCGGTAATGAACGGGGAGCAGGCCACACACACACACACACACACACATGCCAACACACACGCCCACGCGCGCACACACACACACACACACACACATACAGTGTCACGCACACACACGCACACACACACACACACACACACCCACCCACACACACACACACTCACTTAAGCGGCAAGCTTGTTTGTTGTTTCATAGTTGTTGTCCTCATTGGGTTGTCATCAACAACGTGGTAATCTTCTCCATTTTGCAAAAAACAGCTCCAGGGGCGTGGTCGCGCCTGAATGTGGACGGGTTCAACGAAAGAAATGCAGAAAAGTAGACCCATCGGGATTTATTGCAATTGGACTAAGCGCCTGAATGCCCATGGGTTCTACCACAGATGCAGAAAAGCAGACCAATCCAGATTCAGGCGTTTCGTTGCACTCTCGCCGGGTCATAAGGATAGTCAACATCCACAATCTGTCCGCATTCGTGCACACCTCTTACATTAAGGGCGTGCTCAAACCAGTACTTTTCTAAGAATATATTTGATGGGAATTATGGCCGAGATTAGATGCATCTGACGGCAATCACGTCCACAAGTGAGTCGAGAAAGTTCCAAGTTGTTGTAGGCTTTGCTCACCCTCACACGGGCCGGAAATTCTTCTCTCTCTCTCTCTCTCTCTCTCTCTCTCTCTCTCTCTCTCTCTCTCTCTCTCTCTCTCTCTCTCTCT